TGGCACACTAATGAAGCTGAAAGCCATTGTCGTCTATGGCCGCCAAACTTATTAAAGGCAAAAACGCTTTCTACGACTGCTTGCAGTCAGATGTCAGCGCCTTGTCGCGTCATGACGTCACAGTTGTCATGGGAGATTCGGAGACCTGGCCACGATGGTTGGCGTCGATTGCAGTTCATCTCCAGGCGTAGTCGGTCATCGCGAAATTGGCACTTCGATTCTTCCATTTTCGTAGGTAGCCACTCTGCCTCTGAAACTGCCTTCGAGGCTGGAAGATCAGTTTTAACCGCATGTTGCATATCACCTCTGCTAGGGTTCACAATCATTTTGCACAGCCGTTTGGCTGGTAAAAGCATTCGTATATTCTACTCCTAGGTGGTATCGCATCTGGAATTTGGAGGCACCCGTTTGTAAGCAATCACGCTTTATTAGAACGGCAGATTATGGCTGTTTCGTAAACGGACACAGAAATTTGTTTTGATGCGTAGGCAGTCGTTGATTATAGCTCAGAGGGAGAGGTAGCGCTTCATTTACTGAAACGTTGCCCGTAAAATTTGAGTGAACGATTAACATAGCCTTCATTGGCGTTCCCTAATGTCAAGCGATAAGCGTACAAATATAAATCATCATAGACACGGTTTTATTTACATCACCTCAACAATATGATTGTCAGATGATAAATTACTAATCAGTTTTCAGTTTGTTTCTTACGGAGCATCTTCATGGTTAAGAATTTATTATTCAGCTATTGTTGCGTTCTCAACAACAGCCGGAGTGCATGAAATCTTATATATCTGTAAGCCTGAAACTGTTGCGTTGTGTTAATAAAATCGCTCGCATGCAGTGCTTTTGGTATTGCGATCAACGCTCGAACAAGATGCTCAAAACATATCTAATCATCAAAGCTTTAGTCACTGCGGAATGAGGATCATTCTGCGATTATTAAATTAAACGCTAGCATGACTGACATTCATTGAGCATCTACCTCATATCTGTCCACGTTGTTCATTTCTCGTCATTTTCGCCGGATCTCCTTCTGGTTGCTTCTTGCCTCAAAACACTCAAGTAAAATCTTTCAAGCACCGTCGCTTGCAGTTGGTCCAATGTTATTTTCATCGCCATTTTCAGTTTTTAAAATGATGCTACCGATCGATCGCCGAAAAAGAAACGGGCTTGACAAGTTATGCACGACATCTGTCTACAGTTTACAAACGCCTTGGCCATCGCGATGGCTGAAAACGATGTCGAAGACAAAGATGGTGAAGACTACCATCACTGTTGTGGTGATGATTCCGAATATGTTTATGATGCTTATGATGATGAAGAGAAGGATGACAATCTGGATAGGATCATCGCCAACTCAGTCATTTTTCACTTATAGATTTTTAAGTGCTGATCTCGCCACTCGCCACGATCATCACTGTCACTCCTTAGATTATGATGCCACTTCATATGAAATTACGATCTAGCAAACTGACTTCGTTCATACCTTATTCTCTGTCAACTGATACAGTGATAATATATGTGCATTTAAGGAGCCGATCCTGATCAATCTCGTGACTTCAAGCTATCGTAGCCGTTCCAAAGTCACCCTTAATCTGTCGACAGCGAGCAAGACTTCTGCTTCTCAAAGGGCGGGCCACAACCAAAGGATTGGGTGACATAACAAGGCGACGATTCACTGATGAAAAGCCATTAATAGGTGAATATCTTTACCTTGGTAGTGCAAGATCATCAAATTTTCAGTTGCTATGGTAGTATTTGCATTAATAGTTACCCGTTACAATGGGCCGATGTTCGCTCAGCGAACAGCATCGTTGCCTATCGTGGCAGACGATCACCAACGGCGTGTAAGAATTCGGAAAAACGAACAGTCTAGTAATAAGAGGCAGCCGAGAGCAATTCATTTCATTCACATAATGTTGTTGGCTAAAGAACGCTTAAGAACCTAACGATTACTTCCAGAATGCGCTTGATCGCTTCGTTGCTATATGCGATGAAGCTGGCATGCAAAGTCGCCTAACCAAATTCGAAGATCTGTACTTTGTAACCTCGAGAAAGATTCCTTTCTTTGCTACACAAATACGTGCAGTGCAACTGTAGCACGCAAGCAAGTTTAAATAGCATTCGGGCTAACATTCACGGATGATGTCAAGCAGGATCTAGAATTAGTCACACGTGTCATCTAGGCAAGCGCACTAATGAGGGAGCTAAACCGGTATGTCGGGATGAAGAAAGGACTGAATCGTAGAAGCTGTAATTTTCACTCAATATTCTAAGAGCTATATTAAGCATGGTTGGAGCCAACTATTGATTTTGATTTAAGCAATCCCGAGCACAGACACGAGTTCAAAGTTTAAAATGATCATTGGTTTGCTGACCTCAACCTCTGTCTTCGTATAAGCAATAAGATGCTTTCTATAAGACATTAATGCAGACTTGAAGTCATAAAAAACTTTTTCACGATATACGTGTCTGTCAGGCGGTGGAAGATCTTTCAGCCAAACGTTACGTTTACCTAATCAGTTATCGTTGTTACACTCAACGCATTTTCTCATGGCTGTACTGAATATGACGCAGAATGCATTACGAAACGTTGCACCCAGACATACGGTCTGTAACTGGATGGGGTGGACTAAACGCTATTGAACGGCCATGTATAAAACGCCGCGGAAATAAGTGCCGACAGGGGCTGCTATGATTGGAGTAATCATGTGGACGATAGAATGGCGAATTAGGCGAATGAGCTGTAAACCTTGGTCCACGATGGAGCCTAGAGAGAAATAAAAATGAGCGATGGAACATGGCTCTTAAAGTTAGAACAGTATTTGCACGAAAAGACAGGCTGAGGTATGTTGAAAAGCCACGAGTCAGTCCACTGAACCTAATGTGATGTCGATGAGGAGCAGGTGATGCGCTGAGGCTTAAATACGTTACGGCTGTGAACAGGTAAAGCTAAAGCAAGCAAACAGCATGGGACCATGCTACAGTAAGTTCTTCTCGTTGTCGTCAGTAACCAATCGCCGAGCTTTACGTATTCGCGGTCGGTAATTATCTGTTTAGCTAGCGCAATGCCGACAAATAGCCTGATGGCATACGGGAGAAATTGAGTTTGAGAAACGAATCTGAGATCGTACCGTGGTTGCAAGGTCCGTGCCGAATCAAGTGGAACTTCAGTCGACGCGAAAGGTTGTCAGCACGCGTCAGCACGGCTAAGTTCATCAAAAGGATGCACGCCCAGATCAAGTGTTTCATCCCAGGGTACTGATGCCGATCTCAGTCACGTCGCTCGCGCATATGAGCTGCCTTTCTCCAGGACCGTCTCTCTACATGGAGACTGGAAAAACCGGTAACAGACTGTTGATCCGAATGACCGACCGATCGACTCGTTTGATCGCATCTCGCGTCTACCAGCTTGATCATCGGTAAGCTAACGTTTTACCGCGATCCTGACTACGCCACATGTCATGATAGTTTTGCAACACCTCCTCCACCTCCACCTCCACCGCGTTGGAATTCGTCGTCGACCGCCGCCGTCCGAAGGCTGCATCCGTCCTGCCCCGGCATGCACCTACAGAAATCGCGTAGCGCTCAGAAATTGAGTGCATTGCATGCGTCTCGAACAAGTGCTTCCCTCAGCATGTAGCGCAGCGCTTTTGCCTCACTTGTCGTCAGAGCCGTGCGAGGTCGAAAACCGAAACGCGGAGGAGTGACGAGCAGCGGAGATTAGGCTCCAAGTGATCGTCTGTCTCGTTTCAACATCCTTCCTGTAGATCGGATGGGCTGATCGTTCTTAGGCTCAGTACTTCAGTGAACCGTTCGACACCGTAGGCGGCAACGGTGATTGACGCGAAACGGTGCTATCGATGCCATGCCCCGTACACAGCCTATGGCTTCGCTTCTTTTCGTGCCCATTGCACCGTAACGGTTGCAGCGTTGCTGTCAGCACGTAAGTCCATGAACAGGTGTTGGCTTTTGTCGTCATAATTCGCTGAGGTGAAGGAGGGCGCCGCGCAGCGCACTCCGCCTCCTCTGTCCAGTGATCGGTGTGCCCGCTTCCACCTTGCGGCGCCCGTCGCAACTTGCGTTTTGCCGTTTAAGCTATAACATCGGCAGGTACTCGTCGCCACTTTTGACCGCCGTTGCTTTCATAGAGCCCATGCTTTTCTTTATGACCTCAACGTCGGCCCCATTGGAGTGATGAATAATAGGTCTTCTCCGAATAAGGACGAGCTATTTTCCAGTGCATACGATGACCAACAAGTCGGTACTCTGAGCCCGTGTTGTGGTTGCTGTAGCTGATGTCGACCTGATTTCGCAGTTGCACGTTTTTCTCGTATTCATCGACCGAGTAAATTGTCTCATGTAACCGTCCACAACTCTGCAACGGATCTGATCACACAGCTGGCTCACTTAAGCGTGGTCTGCTCGGCCGACAATAGCCCGTATAGGGGACTGAAATTCCATGTTATTCGTTACGTACTCTACAAGGGTAGTACGATACGCCGTAGCAAGTGGTTGTTGCCAGCTTGGCAACCCTCACAGCAAATTTTGCCCAAGTCAGTATTTGTTTCGACGATAAAATCGAACAGAACTGGGATGAGCAAAACGGCAGAAGTTCTTCCAGTTTCCGGTGTCATTCCCTCACGAGACTGAGTGATGCACTGAATGGGATCCTTTCTTCATAGGGCGGCTGATACGATATACAGTTCGCATAACCTTTTAGGTCGTGTTTGCAGACGGCGCGAATGATGCTGAATTCTGCCCATTTCTGGATGTCATTAAATCTGCTTTAGGCTCAACAGCTGAAATTCGTTACTTTGTGCTCAAAGGCTGAAAGACATAGTGAAAAAATTGGCCCTGCCTTCTTGTGGAATGATTACAGGCAATGGCATCTCGTTGCTGCACTCAGATTCTGCTTGCCGTAAAATTTGCCTTATAGTTAATCAGATACATCGGTAACGGAGTTCAGATGTCTGACAGAGCCTACACCAGCTACTTCTCGAAACTGTGCTTCGATGAACTGCGCGCCACACTCAGGTTTTCTACTGCCAAAGCCCAGACGCTGTCGCAGGATTTTTAGCTTTTAAGAACATCCTATGAGGCCTCTTCCACCAGAAACGATAAGGGGTCATCGAAACTGAATATCAGAGTGACATACTGCATTTGCCTTAACAAATATGGCATTTCATCGTAGCTCCTCCTGACATGCAATTTGTTCGAATGTTGTTCATCAGCCAAATCATGGATCCTGAGGTGAGATTTATAGAGATCATGGTTCATAATATTTGGCCAAACAACTCACGGATTAAAATTCTCACTGTGATTAGCCTGTTTCTCATCTTTAGACGTATATCACATTCATCATGAAAAACAGTCAGAAAAAAGCGGTATGTCAAAGGTTGAGTGGTGTGGACCTCTCTAATAATTCTTCTAATGAAGAATCATGCTCGTTGGCTAGAGCAATCTGATTAGTATTTTTCAAATACAGTATCCTTTTCATTGCTACCAAAAGGTGCCATGAAATGTTGAACAAAAGAACATCGTTTAAGTTCTGATCCGAGTTGACGAGTGGAATGGCTGCTCTCAGGGAAAACTTCAGGAGGGGCACCATTTACTTGACGCTTACTTGACAAACTCATCATGCGGCTGAGGCCCACACAGTTTTACATACGTGGCATTACAATGGTACTGCTTAAAACGAGTCACTCTTGTTTACTGTTTGGATCTCCACATGTGTTTTGAGTGAGATGCGGCGTCTGCGTCAATCCTCGTATGCTCCAATGGTTAGTCAGTACAGTAAATAGCTAGTGTAAGGTACAGTATGGATTAGATTTCTGGCCTGTTTCCGTTTAGCCGTTGACCGACAAACGTCAGCAAGCATAGGTTGTTCCTGCGAAACTGGTACAAGTTGCAATACAGTGGCTAACGAATCGACGGAGATGCGTTTCGTAACGGCTTGCGGACCTCGTAAAATGTCGTCCTGCCCATAAATCAATTGGTAGTCATGACCTAGGTTCGCCGTTTTGGCTAAATTGCTTAGGTGCATGGACGAAGAAAGCATCGTGTCGAAGAACAACTGGTGAATTATCTTCAGTTAGCAACGCAGTGCCAGAAATACGTATGACTCAACCTGTTCGGTGAATGACTTCTTTTGTTGAGAGATTCCGCAATTGCCTTACTGGCACAAGCTATGAGCATTATCCATACGACTATGGGCGAAGGCTGCAAGCGAAGCCTAGAAGGAAAATGCTGAGAGCGGCAAACCGTTGGAAGATGCTGAGAGTAGCATGGCGATGGATGAGATTGGTCATTTCTAATTACCTTGGAACAGTCATGGCTGATGATAGCGTATGGTTGTGTCACCTGGTAGCACACAGACGGCAACATGACCACTGGCCTGATCAAATTGTTAAATGAACCCAGAAACTTATACCTTGCCTGATTTCGTTAAGCCGCTCATGAAGTGATTGACAACGCGCTGACAACTTTTCTCTCGTTGGAACAGTCCCCTGGTACAACAGCAGTAGCAGGCCGAATTATAAGTGCAGAATTTGTCATGGTTGCATTCGATTCCGCACTCCCTACTCTGTCTTGTGCCGTACCCCTTCTTGCGATTCTCATCGTGATTTAACAAATTGTTTGTCAGCTACTGGGGGGGAGGTGTCTTGTGCTGTTGCGCCACCTCGACCGCCTCTAGTCGGCTTTTCGCATTTCTCTGGCTTCAAACTCGTGATTTCTCAGGCGCTGTCAAGTACGTGACGTTCACCAGAACAGTCCCCTAAATCAAGAGGTAGTTTAGCGTGACTGGTTTGCGAAATAACCTGAAACCTGAAACAGTAGGCGATTATACAAGTAATCTGGAACGGGGCAGAAGAAAATCCGATAAATAAAATCCATTGCCATCCAGCGTTGCTCGCAAACCCTGCGCTATGAAAAACTCTGCAAAGTGTCTTTTTGCTTACTGTGACGGCTTACTTTAACGAACTTGGCGTTGCTTGAATTTAGTTCAGATACGGTTGTAATTAAAGGTGCAAAAACTAGTGCCACAGCGTAAACTGTAAATGTAGCTCAACTGATGTAGACTGGAACTTGTCGAACTGCTCTTATTAGTCAATTATATATTCAGCACTCCAATGCAACGTCATGCGTAGTCCTAAAATAAAGCGCAACTAAATTTGCCATAAAAATTTCGAATCCGTTGTAGCCGCCCCCAAACACCGATGAAAAAGTACGAGGG